AAATTGTAGCTCAGCCAATCGAACACAAGCGAGCGCAAATCAACAGCTGTCGTGAATGTGCATGCAACAGCTGCACTGCTCTTAGTTCTCACAATGATTCGTCAAACAGGATTCCAAGTCAAATACAAACCCACATGATGCACATGAACAACATTGCACCCTCAGCTGTCCATGTCACAATCAGGCAGGCGGGGTGCCACCTAAAGTGTAGTCATCGATGTCGCTCTCAAACTCGTCATACTCCAGTGCACCTAGAGAGCATCGTGCTTCTGTATTTGGGGTCCCCTGCGCAGACTAAAGACAGACATGTGTATATATATCATGTTATATATATATGATTCAGGATTCATTCAGGTTGATCTTTCACAATTAGACAAAATATCATTATAAATATATGCATGCACCCTGCTTCAGCCAAACAGCAAGCCTCAACCAAGATTTCTCCAACTGAGGGCAGCACGCTTTGCCAAACAACTTCTGATCGACGGCATAGAAGGGCATGTACATTGCAAAGCCCAGCGCTACATATGCATGCAGAGTAAAAAGATCTTGTTTCATGCCCATATGTGCCAATGAAATATTGCAATGGTCTTGACTACATCAAAGCCAGCCACAAGCAATTCAATTTCTTGGAATACCTGACTGACATCTCACCAAATTCAATCGATCTTCAGAGGATCTTTCCTCTGCACAGGACACCTGTGCCTTGAGTTCAAGCAAACACAGCACAAGCATGCAGAAGGCCTTTAACAACCCCTGCCGGATGGTCAAAATAGTCGCAAGCCAGGTTAGAATAGGCTTGGACAATGGCCTATTAACTTAATGGTCGCCGACGGTCAGGGGTTATGATCATGCATTCTATGCCCACAGTTGTCTATCAGTCTATCTATCAAGAAATTGCAAGAAATTGTAGATCTCCACAGGATGGGCTTCTGCCTTTGGACCTCTGAAACGTCTCATGTTTCAAGTGGTCGACTGGGCCATATATATATATATATTTTTTTTTTTTTTTGGGGGGGGGGATCTGCTTTGAAGTGATCTAATGTCACCACAAACTCGTGCATAAACATCCTTGGAGTTGACAACGCAAATGACACCCATCAATCAAACTCACCTCCCCAACACTGGGCCAGTTTTGCTTCCTTTTTGTCTGCGGTTTCCTGTTGGAAGTGTAAGAGTCGATACTCGCAAGAAAATGGCACCGTCCCACTTCAAGATGGTCAAAATCAGAAAAAAACATATATATATATATATAAACCACTTCAAAAATATGATCAACCAATATCTTAGAGATCAAACATAAATATATGGTCAAACAATATGTGAATATGGTCAAACATACAAAAACACAAACTTTTGAGGATCTTGGAGGATTCTGTTGCCATGTTCACTAGCGCCCCCATTCCTTCAAAGGTCCGGCTCCTTGAGTGACCAGTCACCATGCTTCTTCTTGGCCAGGACCCACCGCTGGTGGAAGACCTCAAACGTGGCCAGTATTTGGAGCGTTTTCAGGGACCTACACCCGCTTATGTGTGTGGAGGAAGATCTTGCAATTCTTGAGCCTGAGCTTGTTGAAGGGTTTTATTGATCATGATCTAGTAGTTAAGTGACCTGCTGCTGTGTCTCCTAGTTCACCGGTGGTTGTTTAAAGGGACGGCACTTGAAGGGAGGGGGTGAACGAAACCACCTTATGGATTGCCACGGGCGCAAAAACATCATCAGAAACAGCAGCAGAATCTTCATGAACAACTTGTTAGTCAAAGAGTGCGCCTCTACATAGTGCAGTGGTGAAGCAGCCCGGATCTTTTGCAAAGAAAACACTTGTGTTCTTACAGTTGCAGCACTGCGCTCTTTCGGAACCACTGTGCTGGAGGTCCTTCTTTTGTTGATCTGGGGTCGGCAGCGCGGGCAGCAGCACTGGCAGCAGCCCCTGATATCAAAGATCCATCGTGATCCATCAACGGTACATCAAGTTCTTTGACAGGTTTGAGGGAGGTAGCCAACTTTCTTTGCGGCAAGTATATAGCGCAAAACCCCAGCGGCCCCAGTGAGGGGTTCGGTTTCAGTCAAGCTGGGCCCGGGGGTTCGCCCCAGCAGTCAAATCTGGGTGTACCCGGCGAGATTGACACGCGAGGGGAACGACATGGCTTGGCATCGCTGTCAGAAGCTCCAATCGATCGCCCTGTGCGAGTAAGATCCCTGCTTAGTCGGTTGACATGCTTTGGTTGTTGTGCATCACTTCTCTTGGATTTGCGTAGGAGCTGTGGAACAGTAGCAAAGTCTTCCCCGGAAGAGTATTCACCCATAGAGGAAATAATCATCACCCTAAGCAAAACGAGGCTTGTGGATGCCTGTGGAAGAATAAGGGGGGCTTTGGGTCTGCACTCAGATGGTCAAGCGAAAAGTGTGGACTAACGGGGCACAACCAAAAAATAACATACACCAACATGTCATCTGCACATGTGTTTCAATTTGGCCAAAGAGTATCCATTTGCTGCTACGGATCCCAATGATTTGAAGCAAATGGAGATTGTTTATGATAATAGAGATGCACTCATACTGACCAACATGGAAGTGGAGAATCCCCCAATTTAGAGGAGGAAACGAAACTATTCCAAATTGACTATATTCCACTTCCATGTGAGATCTAGTGAGTCTCAAAGTGTAGTTTCTCAATCTCCGTTTTCGATCTATAGAGAAACCACTGTACGTGTTGCCCATCATCGGTGAGTCTGTGGTGCTTCGCCCACACATACATCATTTGAAGCAGTCGCGAGCTGGAAACTTTTGTTCCTTGAGCCAGTACAGCCGCCAGCGCGGATCTGCACCTCGGCCAACTTTGTGGAGGTTCTTCAGGTAGACTCTTGATTCATAAAGCCCCAAAACGAAGTGGTTGTATAATCCAAACGGCGGGCGTTCTACTAACCAAGAGTATACAATACTGTTATTCACCTTGAACAGTGGCAAGCCTGCAGCTAGATACGAACATATACGAACTCTGAAAACATAACTGCTTAGAGGTGAATGCCAGCATCATTGCACCTTAAGTCTTGCACCACCGAACGCCAATCCACTGCGATCCTGGGAAGGTTGCACGTTTTAGTCAACCTCCGTGTGTGTATATATATATATTATATAGATATGCCATCAGAAAAATCCAAAAAGTACACTGCTTTCTTGACAAGTCAGTTAGGCCCTGCAATCGCTTGTCTTCCACAAAAGTCCTTTCCCCATCGACGACTTCACACAAAATATGTGAGCAAGGTCCTCGGTCGATTTCCAACAGCACGAGGAGGAAGATACCAACTTCTTTATTTATGCCTATCCCATTCCCAGTAATAGTGCATGACGATGGTTAGTAAAAGCCTTTCTCAAAAAAGGAAGATTGAAATCATTTATCCACTGGTACAGGTATAATGGGACACGCCCAACCGATGCCTTTAAAAAGGAAGGAGTTTGTGAAGGAAAGCTCTCTGTATGTAAAGGACGTTGCCCGTTCCGTTACTCGCTCAACAGTCGGGCGCAGGTCTGAGGAAAGCAAATAGTCTTCAAAAAGGCCATAATCTGGGTTGATGTTGACTGTATACAAGTATACCCAAGATGTTCATTTGGGGTATACTTGTATACAAGGCCATACTTCATGTTGACTGTCGGAATACAAGTATACCCCAAATGAACATCTTGGACCCTCGAGGTAGGACGGTGGCAACATGGTTTCTTCTCATCAGTCAACATTCAAGGGAGGTTTGCATCCGTTCCAGCTGCAATGTTTGAAAACATAGATCCAACAAAAAAGGGTGCAAACAAACACATTCCAAACAAACAACATGCCTTTTCAGGAGTCACCAGGGGGTGGTGTCTAGTCCCTAAGTCAGTGGATAAGAACACCACCCTGCACCCCTTTGTGGCTCCTCGTCCAAGCGTAACTCGTGAGTGGCCCAGTCGCTCTCCTTTTCACCACGGTCGCCCAGTGATCGCCAATGAGCCATCGCCCAGTGAGCTTGGTGATCGGCGGTGGGTATCTGACTATCAATGTCTGCTCAAACATTGGCCTGGATTGGAATCTTTACGTCTGGAATTGGCACACAATGAGCAAACATTGGATTGGATTGTTATTTTTGTTTGTCTGAAAGTCTGAAAGTTCGGTACAATTCGGAACTTAAGCAAAGGAACAACATGAACAGGTGAGCAGTTGACAAGTGACGGCCAGTGGTTTTTTGAAGCAGCTCAGTCATATGGCTGTGATGTATATAAAAACTCTTGGTTCATTCCTCAAACCATTTGGATTCGTGATGACCTCTTCAATCCTGAGGGGGTTCAATACCTTAATTTAATGAGTCAGTCTACCCACCCCTCACGCACGAACAACCGCGGGCACCTCTGGCGCCAGGGGTTGCACGGTGGCATGCTCTGCACCATGAAAAAACACGGGAATTTCGTGGGTACTGGCTCAAGTGGAACATCAATGGGCCAACCTGCTGGTTGTTTCGTTGTTCTTCCTTGTGTAGTTTTGCATGGTTTCATATCTTTTTCCAGTCGTTGTGTTGATGCGATGTTGTTCTGCGCAGGTCTTGCGAGTAGCTTTCGGCTTGGGGTGTTCAACAAAACCTATGGAATATTGGCAATTACTATGTTGTGAATGTGTGCTATAATTTCTCATGCGTTTCCAGTACTCCTGTCCCGTGTCACGTCATGGCAGTTTTTGTTGGGACAGACTGCCGTGGATTGCCAAGAACTCATCCAAACGGTATAAGCTGAGTTGAAAACACAACTTTTTGGTGGAGCAGATCCTCCTCATGCCGCTGCCGCATCATGCCACATCGGGGTCTTAGTCCAGGCCGTTGCGCGGCCAGGCGACAAGCCTCTTATTCTCAAGACTATGCTTGGCCAGATCTGCAATCTGCGCTTCCCTGATCTCCCTTCCCCAACTAAACCGATTTTGCCCACCGCAGATGCACTGGAAACCACCGACCTGGCCCTGTGGCCCGGCTCTGGCGGCATCACGTGGTGTTGGATGCGGTGTTGTTCGATGCGGACGCAGCACTTCGAGCTTCCTTGAAGACCTCGAAGAGGTAGGCCAAGCGCACCTGAAGACGCCAGGCTCGCAGTGAATCTCCATCTTTGGGATTCTTTTTAGCCGTCTTTCCAGATCAATCTGGAGCCGCTGTGGGACCAAAATCAGGATGCCTTTGGTTTGGTTGATGGAAGGTCAAGTTACATGGTGGACCAGGGCTCCAGGTTTTGACTTATGCCCGGATTGGATTTAACCATGTTTATCCCATCCTGATTCTACGTACCTCTTACCTCTGGATGCCCCTCGCAATGCCCTTGGATGCTCCGAGAAGCTACGAGTGTTTTCATCACCATCGACTTTGGGTTGAAAACACTCCCCCTGGGGCGAACAGGTCGCACCTCCAAACCGCTTCGGTGTGACTGGACCCTGGCACCCCCAAGGTTCGCTGCGACAGGAGCCCAAACGGCTGGACTTCGACTCGTCTGGACCCCATGGATGGCCTGGCCCCACCCTTCGACCCCTTCGGACCGTGGCGGACGCACCTCACACCACCGGACGCCGGAAGGACTTCAGACGCCCTCGTGGATTCTGGGGTACAGTAAGTAGTATGTACATAGTAGTACTATACCTCTTGCTTGGAGTGCACAAGTTGAAACCGTCTTGTTTTTTTACGGGTCAACACCGAGTCAACATCCTAAAAACTATCCTGAACTCGTCTCCCTTGTGAGCCTGCTTGGGATCATAGACGATGTACCTGAAGCGCCAAAACACCGCGTGAACCGGAGCTTCCGGAGGTTGCCTGCCTTCACCCTGGTGAATCATTCATGAAGGAACATAACGAAACTGTCATTAGCAGGCGCAGGTTCATTCTATCACCCATTCAACTCCCGTGCTCTTTGATTATACCTTCATTCATCTTTTTGAATGCGTCTAAAATCACCATAGCCACCGGGGCATCTCCACTCTCAACTACAGTGGCCCATCTGAATCATTCTTAATACCAATGTAGATTGAGCTGGGAAATGGCATCCTCAGCACTTCTGTTTGTGACCCTCAGGAACCACCTTTCCCTTGGTCCCAATGTGGTAGAAGACTTGGCACATCAACGCATGGAAAGGGAGCATTCTGGGACTGTGAGTTTATGAGCGCTCTAGGCTACAATGATCATTCGAGTAAGCGGCCAAGCTCCATCCCTATGTCTATTGACCCAGGTGTTTTTTTTTTGCTGTCTGGGCCTTGCAAGGAGGATGTGAATTGGTAAAGGGCCTTGCTTTCTGGGCCTTGGGCCCTGCTTGGGCCTGGTAAAGGGCCTTGCTTTCTGGGACATTTGGTAAAGGGATGTGCTTAAACTGTGTTTTGCACAGTGCGTTCTTTTGGCCTCTCCCTTTAGCAAAGTTTCTTGTCGTACACCAGACCTACCTGACTCCTCCTCCTCCGGCACGCGCCGCCCATCAGCCAAGACTCTCTGGAACGCGGAGTGCTCCTCCTTCCTCCTCCTTGGTTCCGGTTGTGAACCTTTGGCATGAGACATTGGAATCTCATGGAGTTGCTTGTTAAGCCAAAGAAACGCCAAAAACCGATCGGCCAAGACCACTAACCCCACTCCGGATCTATATAGCCGGCCCAGGTAGGAGGAGTCGGACTAGTCCACGTCCGCGGCCCGGCTGGGAATGATCTGTAGTGATCGAAATGAAGTCCAACACACTGATGCAGCTGCAACAGGCTGAAGAGTAACTGCTTTGGACCATTTTTTTGCGAGTAACTGCTCCGGCTTTGACTGGCACCATATAGTACATAGCAAATAGACAAAGAAATAAACATGCTGGATGGTTAAGTGCCAGTGTTTGAATCATCTGGGGGCTGAGAGACGCCGAGTTTTCAAGGCACAACTACTTTCACAGCTTCTCAGGTATAACCTCTCCATACAGTCGTAGCACTGCATACATTGCATAGGGGTTTCGCATACTGCCCAGTCTGCTTCTCTTTGCTGAATAAGAAGCTCTTGCCCAGTAATTAGTAATATGGGGGCTAGGAAGTGACTCGTCTATCCAGTTTGAGGCAAAGAAATGCTGGAGAACATAAAGTATCTCTGGTTCGAGTATGATGTTCAAGCCCACTGAAAATCATCCAAAGGCATCAGAGAGCTACAAGCTACACTACTGAAAAAAAACACCTAAACAGGAATGGCCATCCACACCAAGATCTGCCGACAGCTCTGCCGCCTCTGAGGCACCTCTCGTGGAGACTCGTTCTTCCCATATCCACCCCAAAGAATCCGTTTCTCAACCCCAACACGGCTCGCCGTGTCCGTGTTAGAACACGTCTTCCCCAAAAACCCTCCGTGGTCATGCAAATCGATTAGCTGCTTTTTGCATCGCTGTTGAAATGTGGTGAAAACTCCAACGCTGCGCCTGCCCATTTAACCTGTTGGAGCCGCGCGGGCCTCTGAAACCAGCCACGAAGATCGGTCTCTGGGGCTCCCAACGGTGAGGCCTGTCACCTCGGCAAGGTTTCAGGAGCTGGTGAGGACACTCCGGAGCTGGCTTTGGGATTTCCTCAGCCCCAAAAGCTAAGGATACCTAGATCTTCCAACCTGTTCATCTATAAAACCAGCCTAAAGGCATACATGTTGCACAGTTGGAAGCTCTAGTCATATATATAATATTGTGGATAGCATGGCCAAGCGGTCATTTTGCCGCAGAACTCAGGGTCCTCTTGCCCAGCTTGATGCGGAACGCAAATGGTACACTTCTCGATTGTGACGTGTTTTGGTCAAAGGAGTCCGATGCCTGATTCACATCGCTCCTAAAGTTTGTTGACCAAAAACGTCCATCTTTTGAGCTCTTTGGCCCCATATTCAAATAAGGTCCAACACGCGTTTCTCATTGTTTTTCTTAAAAAGGTCGAGGGGCCCTTCTTAGTGAGAGAGTCCGAAATCATGATTTCGCCTGGAACCCACCGAACCTGTCCTCTTGTAGCCATCATGTCGTTCTTCAAGATCGTCAGGTCGATGGCAGTTCTTTTGTCCTCGATGTGGGCCGCCACATTCTTTGACTTGCTCAGGTTGTCGAACAAGGATCTGGAGTCAGTCACTGTAATGAAGGGTGTTTTGCTGATCTGTTCTTGCCAGTTCAGCAGATCCAATCGAAATCCTTTGATTTCAGACCAAAGGAACCTCATCCAGTAGGAAGCTCCAACTCCTTGTACCATAGCTTGAGCTTCAGCAGCTAGAGTGTTTACCGTACATCTCTTCAGCTTGTAGCTCTTCCAACTCAATATTGATATTGGTTGGGGTGATTGTTCAACTTCAAGTGCTTTGTCGTAGGCATAGATGATGTGCCCGCCTTGGCTGTGAGTGCGGCCAACCTGAAGAAACTTTTCATGAATCTCAATCTTGTTTTTCTTTCCCCTCTTTTTCATGAAAACGGTGTGACCTTTCCATTCTGCTTCTCCATGTTTTCGGAAGTCTTCTCGTCTGTTCCATGTGTCTTCAAAGAGTTCACCATCTACCCAGGTTGCTCTTTCAGCCTCTAGGTCATGGAGTTGGGGTCCATTGGGGTCAGCTCCAGGATGAAATAGTAAGTGTCGAGGTTGGACATGATGGCGAATCCAAAGATCACCTCGTTCTTCCCAGAAATCTCTGCTCTTCTCTTCCAACTCCTTGCAAGGTGTATTTCCCCAGCTGGCATCCGATGCGGATCCAATTTGAAGATCCTTGGTCGGGATCGGCGCGATGATGATGCCAGCATCGACTTCTTGGACCGCTTCTTGTGCTAAAGCATTTGCCTCGATCATGTCTCTGACATACGGTTTGGGCATGCATTGTTGGAGTATGCATACTCGTCCCATCAAGTCTGGCCTGGTTTCCTTGGCCAGCCATGCTAGTGAGCCCAATAGAGCTCGAAGAGCGGAGACTTCTTGATCGGTGCACAGGTTGTATTTCTGTGTTTTCCGCTCCTTGGTGATGTCCATCGTCTTGATCTTTTCCTTGACGTACATGTTCTGGTGGACCTTCATATATCCGTCGGGGAGGCACTTGATCTCCTTACCAACAAATCTTCCATCTCCTTTGGCGAATTTTCCTAACTTGTAGTGTTGTTGGATCCATTTCATCTTCTTCCAATGCTCTTCTCCTCCTCCATGGAGTAGATCATCTGTTGCCACTCCGATGATTCCCAGGAGCTTTCTTTCTTGATCTCCATCTCGAGCCGGATGTTCTGATTCCTCAAATAAAAAGAAGAGGCATGGATCGGCTTGAGATTGTTCATATCCCAGGTTCACTAGAGTTCGTTGGAGATGTTTGTACCATTGATATGGCCCATCCAACAGTCCATAGCAGTGTTTTTTCAGTCTCAGCAGTTGGCGATTTTGTACTCCCGGTAGTCCTTCTGGAGGAAGTTCTGCATAAAGCAGCCTGGATATTTCATCTCCGCTGTGAAAAGCCTGGGTAAAGTCCAGATATCCAGGTTCCCATCCTTGAGAGCAGATCGCCTGTAGAACCAGTAGGACTGTTTCTGGTGCCACTTGGGGAGTTGCTGCATCGAGCCATTCTGAGTCAGGTTCACTGAAGCCTTTCATCACATGTCGAGCTTTGGCTTTGAAACCACCGTGTTCATCTTCTCGAAGTAGCAGCTCCTCGTTTTGAATGGCTTCGACTTCATCTGGTTCAATTCTCTTTTCTACCAGGACATATCTGGATTGTAGGATGTGGTGTCCTGCTCGACGGATCTCTTCTGATTCCTCTGGTGAAATAATCTCATATGCTCCCGTGGAGATGTTGTTGTTGACTTCCTTCTGAATCGCCTTGAGGAATTTCTCTCGTGCAGCGCATAGGAGGTCCTTCAACTTTATCTCATGGGAACCTTTTTGCTTTCGAATTTCAGGCACCAAAGTCTGAAACATGACCTCCATCCAATCGGTGCGTTGTCTTTTGTTGTTTCCTGGTCCTTCAGCTTCATCTGGTTCTTCTTCTATTCTTCGCACTTGTCCTCTAATTCTTTCGTTTTCATCTTCATGTCTTGCCTTCTTCTCCAGTCTTTGTTCATGGTCATCTTCTCCTTGTCTCTTGTTGAGCTTTGACTCTTGTTCTCCTTCCAGTTCTTGATCTATGGGTCGTCGATCTTCCGGTGGAGTGGTATCCATCCCGCCTGAGGTGGATTGTTCCTCTTTTGGCTGCTCAATGTCCCATGGAAATGGTGTGGAGTCCAAATAGAACTCTGTTCTTCCTTTCCATGCTCTCTCTTGTACTTGTTCCTCATTTCTCCAGTCGTCAACAATCTCCTTGCTCTGGCCATCCTCGAAGTACATGGTTGTTCTTCGAATATTGTTCAGCTTGTTATAGTCCACTGGGCAGTCTTCTACGTCCGTGGGCTTAAAGAGCGACTTTCGGAGATTCATGTGGAATCTTAGAAGCATGCCCTTCTGTTCGTTCCACATCCATTCATCCTCCTCAGGTCTGGCTTCCACTTCCTTGATAGGTGTTTTTCCTTCGATCTTGTATCGAGGTTTCTTCATTCCTTCATCCTCGAAGGGCGTTTCATTTTCTAGTTCTTGATCTAATTCTTCACTTTTGTACTCCTTGGTGAGGTCGATGTATCCTGCCTTTGGTTCTTCAGACATGATGTGTCTCAGATTTGAAAGACCTTCCATCCATGAAGAGAGCGAGTGATGTTCGTCTTCGCTTGCATGTCGAAGTTGCTCGGGTGCAGCTTTGACGATATGTCGTCGGAAGTTGATCCATATCGCTCCTGGTGGTGATGTGAGTACCACCTTTGCCGGCCCTCTCCAGTACCTGGTGCTGTCTTTGCTAGCCTTATCTCCGGGAGCTCGTCTCCAAAAGTATACTGTCTGTCCAACTTCATATTCCGGAACATCTCGACGTCCGGCATGGAGGGAGTTGGTCAAGGCTTGCTGGCACTCTACTTCGTGAAATGCTTTTGCTGCGGCCAGTCTCATCGTTTGGGATCTCTGCAATTGAAGATCTCCTCTCGTGGCCCAGTTTCTTTCCTTCTGCTCTTCGTTGGTGAGGAATTGTAGACCTCCTGGCATCTTTGGTGTGTAGCCCAACATTCTCTGTGCTGGTGAAAAACCTGATCGATTCGACAGCCGATTGACCGTCACGTTGACAATGTCAATCAGATCTCGCCATTCCGACTCTGTTTGTGTGGCATAGGTCTCCATTGCTTTGATCAGGATCTCCTTGAAGGTCTTTCCAGCTCTTTCAGTGATGGATCGCTGTGTTGGCATTTCTAGAGCACTAGGTTCCACGATGGTGTCGTCGAGTTCAGCTCCATCTTGAAATGCTGAACAGAACTCTTTTCCGAGGTCTGTAAAAAGACGTTGAGGTACCCCCATGAAGCGAACCCACTCCAAATAGGCTCTTCTTGTGTCAGGTGCGGTGTGGCTACGCAATGGAATCACCATTTGAAATCGAGTTGACCAGCAGACGATGTTCAGTGCCATTCTTCTCTTTTTGCCGGGTGTGGGTAACCAAATAGTATCCACTCCAATGGTGTGGTTTGGAGGTAATTCTTTTGGTGGTGCAGCAGCTCTAGGTGGTCGCACCAGTTGATGTTGTTGGCACGTTGCGCATACCAAATTTTTTGCATAGTCGATCGCTTTCTTGGAGGCGTTGGCGTTCTTCAAGATCCTTGCCAATCTATCATTTCCTGGATGTCCGAGACCTTCATGAGCTCTTCTGACCAGTTGCTCCGTGGTGAATGGTCGTTCTCGAGGTAGATATGTTTTCTCTCTTTGCAAGTCATTCTCTTCTTGCTTTTCTTCTTCTCCTTCTGGTAGGGCGTGAACTTCATGTTCCATGACCTGGTTGAACCACGCCCACTTTCTCTGCCAATTGATCTCTCGATCTTCTAGCTGTCTGCAATCATGGAGTCCCAGCCATCGGATCTCTAGAGTGTCTGCCTTCTCGGCTTCCTTGATGGACCGTGCGTATCCTTTTAGGATGGCTTGAACTAAGCCTTCTGGATATCTTTGGGCTTGTCGCGCACGGCTCTCACCATGGCATTGTCCAAGAACAGGTACATGTTGATGGGCTCCATCACATCGTTTCTTCAGTTGCTCGGCAATCTCCTGCCGATTAGTGACCCAGCCGGTTCTCTTCTGCATAGGTTCCCCATTTGCATCTTGTAGTCCATATTGACATTGATCGCAGGTGCTCAAAATACTGTCTTCATGTTGTAGGATCTTCTGTAGGGCTCGTTCTGTCCATGCTCTTGAGGTCAGCGGCTGTTCTAGTAGGAAGGCACCTCCGTACTCCATGATCAGAGTGATGATTTCACATGCAAAGTTCAGCAGAACTCGGGCTTCCCGCAATCGCCGACGGAAGTCCTTCTTCATCACATTCATGTTCTGCATGATGCTGAACAAAGTGCATGGCGGTGAAATCACTGTTAAGCCTGGTCGTAGTTCCTGGATGAACTTCTTTACTCTATCTCTTTCTCGTGGATCAAGAAGTTCGTCTCCAAGTTCTAGGTCAAATGCTGCCGATGCAATGAGTCCTGATCGGTGGCATTGCGGAGCAAAGCGCTTCGGGTTGAAAATCTCGACAACTGTCTTTGGGGATCCCTTAATCATTCTAGCATAATGTTGGTGGACCCGCGTGTTGGACTTGATGCGCTCTAGGTTTTTCTCTATGGCGCACCGTGGCTCATCCTCTCTCAGAAGCGTCATAACCTCCATCATGTAGTTCTCTGCCATCTTTAAAGAGGCTTCCATCGCCTTCCGATTTTTCTCCCCAAGTTCTCGCCAAGGTCCCAGGCTCATCATTTCTTGTTTCCTCCGGTTCGTTGTTTCTCTTTCTCCTTCTTCCACTTCTGGTACTCGAGGAACTCCGCGAACTCGGTCTGATCCTTCTGCTGATCTTCTCCTGGGTCCATCGATGGGGATTCGATCTCTTTCTTGATGGATGTTGTCTCGGCTTCCGATTTCCTCTCCGATTTCAGAGTCTTGCCGCACTGAAGGCACTTCTCCACCGTGACAAAGGCATTGGTTCCTCGTTTGGAGGTACGAGTATGCTTGCATTTCTCCATGTCGATCTCCTCCAACTCTTCTGGCTCCTTCTTGTTCGTCTTCTTCTTGATGTCCTGGGGGAATGCCTTCGGTAGTGGAGCCTTTGTCATCAGTTCGGGTGGCGTGCTTGGCGTCACAGATGTTGCTCGATAGCTGGAGGGACTTTTCTCTTCGGAGGCTGTTGGTGGTGTTTGGCTGACCGGAGAAATCGATCTGTTGGCTTCTGAGATCGTCCTGCTCCGTCCCGGGCGGAGTGCTCTCGGCCAAAGACTGAATGCCTTGTTCCACCCATGAGGCTTGATCTGCTCCCACCCTTGATCCTCCATGTCGGTCACCTCGACATCGGTGTCGTCCATCGTTCCCATGTAGATTCTCTCCCCCATCAGCGACAAGGCCAATTCGGTCAGGCGGAGGATCACAAAAAGCATGCGAGCCACTAGCCTTGCCCAAATGTTGTCGTACTTGTTTTCCTCGATGCGGCTGCGCTTCATGGCAGTCGTCAGTCGGGATCGCTGAGCTGGATTCCGTGCTTGAGCTTTTGGGTTCGCAACTTGAACCATGGGGAGCATCATTTCCGATTTTCAGCACCTCGAACTCGGCCGAATCGTTCCGCAACTGTTCATGTAGTTGGTGCAACCGGTCGGTTTGATCCTTCGTGAACTTGTTGAGGGGAACTCGGAGCGCTCCTGTGGGACCAATGTGGCAATCAACCCCAAACCCAAATCGTCGAAGAAACAATCGTAGTCCTTTTTGAGGATCGAGATAAAGAACCGACCGACAATGAAGTAGGAATGGTAGTGAAATGAGAAACGGTGCCTTCTTGGATTCTCCTTCTTGGAATATTGCTGGCCTCAAAACGCTACCTTTTGTGCCCAGACTCGTCGGGATGGATGCCAAATGTGACGTGGAGGTAGTTCCATTCACCGACCGAAAACGATGTTCTTGAGGGATTCGTCCAACTCCCAAGTTTTGTGGTAGTTGTCGGGCGAGACGGTAGAGCGTTTCTTCTCCGACGGCCATGCGTTGACATCCGGTGTCAATGGTTGCACATCCATCATCATGGTTGGTTCCTTCAAGGTTTGATGTTGAGTTTGTCCGACGACGATGTGACGAGGTCCTGCGGTGGTTACTTGGCTTATCATGATTCTCGGTTGCTCTCCCCCGCAAATTGGAATCACCCCTAACAAACAAAACCTCATGACTGAATTCCCCGATATCCCCCCCAATAGCAGCGTATTGGACCTTATATCGGGATTGAGACATGTTCATATCTCCAGCTACATCGTGGGAGCTGGTCACCACTTCAAAAAGATCGTCTTGCGATCCACCCTCGGGCTCAGCTGGGCTTGAACTCGTTGATGGTTTGGCCACCGACGGAGGCATCAACGGTGTTGTCACCGCATCCTTCTCGACGTCGGAAGATTCTGGCCATCCCTCAGGTCCATCATAGTTTTCCACCAAGTGACGATATTGTTCACCGTAGATTTCTCTCTCATCTCTTTCATCTGGATCCGTGAGGAGGAACAGCTTCTCGTCGTTGAAGTTCTTCATGTCTGTATCCTCAGCCTCGGGGAGTACTTCAAGATGTCCGCAGAAATAGGCTTCTGCAGTCGGATCCTTCGGCATCGCCTCCATGTAGTAGGTCTCCTTGACGTTGGTCTTTCCTCGACCCTTGCCTTCGGGGCATTCTCGATGCCAATGGCCGATTTTCTTGCAGATTGCACATCTACTGTTCTGCTTCAAGTGGTCTATCACCTTTCCTTTTCCACCTTTTCCCTTGTCTTTTCCTGACCCTTTCCAGCCGCCGAAGCCTCTGGCAAGTTCTTTTGCTTTCTTCAACTTCAGGCTTTGACTGAATGTGCGTTTCTGGTACATGGTGTTCAGGATCTCCTTGACCTCATGTTCATCGAGTACCTCTTCTTCTGCTTCATTTCCATCCTCTCCCAGATCACCATCCTCCTCTTCATTCAACTCATCCAGGACGGCCTCGAGAATCTCGTCCTCGTCGTGGTAGTCCATGTTCTCATCCACATTGAGCTGGTGCACCGGGGTAGTCGAAGAAGTCCCGGCGGTAGCTTTGCTCTTGTTTTTCATGACCTCAATGCCAACCTCTTTCGCCATCAGCTTTGTCTCATGTTTTCGAAGCCATTCTTTCACATCCTTGGTGGCGATGCTGCCTCGTGTGAAATTCATCATATTCTTGATGTCCTGGTCACCCAAATTCAAGGCGTTGATGAGCAGGAATCCTTTGTAAGCATCTGGGAGGACCACTTGGTGTGTGGCCACTCGTCTCATAGCCTCTTCCCATCTGTTGAAGAACACTCGATGACCTTCAGTTCGATCTCGGCGGATATGGTAGGTCACCTTGGCCAACGAACTCAACAGATCCTCCTCCTTGTCTTCTCCGAAGTTCTCTGGCTGGTCCATCGCGGCTAACAAGCGATGCCCTCCTTGTTCATCTTGAAGCCATTCCATGTCCTTGGCCCAATGTTTGAACGTATGGAAGGCCACTCCTGAAAGACCTTGGAGAATCAGAGGACCCTGAGAGGTCTTTCTTACCTTTGTTGTCGCCAGCCACAGTCTGGCTTTGATCAACCAGTCCTGGAATGGCGTAGAGTCGCCATCCCATTCAGGCGGTTTCGCCGACGAACCACCGCCTTTCCACTCATCATCTTCCTCACCACGTCCTCGTCCGCGGTCTCGTTCTCGAGCACGGCGTCGACGTTCCTGCAAGAACTCTCGAAACTCATCACTGTCAAACTCGTCAGACACTCCGGCTCCTGCCGGGGAAAACTCCTGGCCTCGCACCCGAGACCTTGCTGATCCCGCAGCCGCGGGTTCACCTTCAACTCCATCACTACCATCACTTCTTGGCACAGGAGGCGTGCCGACATTCGCCATGGCTCTACACGCGTAACCCTGGAGCTTGATGCTCCGCTACCACTGTGGATAGCATGGCCAAGCGGTCATTTTGCCGCAGAACTCAGGGTCCTCTTGCCCAGCTTGATGCGGAACGCAAATGGTACACTTCTCGATTGTGACGTGTTTTGGTCAAAGGAGTCCGATGCCTGATTCACAAATATATATATATATACCAGGATCCATGTTGTTGAGTCCACAAGGGTCGTCATCCCGAAGTGCGTCGTCGTCATCCTCCACCTCCTCGGTCAAAGAACCCCGTCCAGCGAAGGACTTGAAGTCCAGCACAGGTCACCCCCAGGGCATCCAAGAGCTCGCTGGGCCAAAGACTAAAGCCATTAGACCGAACGAATCCCTGGTTCCTATATATAGTGGTTTGCCTGGGATCCACATGTCATCATGGAGTCCATACCTCAAACCCATTGCCAACATCCATTGAATCGCGTTGGCACCCGGACAGAGTCGTAAGCCTCGGGGCGGTGAACTAGACATCACGCGGACATGTCTCGCGACGACGACTGGCCGGTTCCAACTCCTGAAGACTTGAAGCAATTGAAGCATAACAGTTAACATGGATGTACGTGGATCTTAGACTTAGATGATCGAATATCTGAGCCTCCTGGTGAGCAGCTAGTGAAAAGTGGAAGTGCTCCGAGAGTGGTCTGAGAATGCAAAAAGAACTCGCAAGAATGCAAGGTGGATCTTTGTCAGTTCTTCTTGTGAACCCTAAAACCGGTGATTGCCTGCTTAGAGTTCCAAAAGTGCTGATTGCAAGTCTTTTGTCTTCAAGACCAGAGTCACCCCCTTGGGTTCTTAAGCAAGTCTAGACTCGCATTTCTTCAGAAAGCCTGAAGCCACAAACTTGTGGACCCTGACGTCCCTGTGGGGGGAAAAAAGTCCAAGCCACAAAAGCTTGGCCAATCCAAGGTGAAAATCTGAACCCAGTTTTTGAATGTTTTTGACCCAAATTGCTGAGTCAACTGGATGTGATCGACCAAGAAAGTCGGACATGTTTCTTTGTTGCTAAGGACAAAGTTTGTCCCGGCCTAACACTTATATAGAATATAGATGAATATAGAACGTTTTGGTACGTTGTCATTTTTGCAGGTCCGGATTGACAGTAGCAAAGAAACATGCCCACAAGAACTGCTCGGTCTTGCTGTCGAACGATTCCTCCGTCTGGGTGCTACACCTACCCACAAAGAAGATCTATATAAGCCCGTCCTATCAATGAAAACAGGCCACACAAACAGCAACACAGGCATCTGCTTGACCGCTGTGCTTCAGCACAGGCCTGAGGGTCACCAAATGGACTGATGTCAGATCTATATACCCTCCCAAAGGGTGGTTGGAGACACCTTTATATATCTTTATATGCTTGGAGGGTACAAGTACCTTCTGAGAAGGTGGCAGGGGATCCCTTGGAACATGTTGTATAAATATCTTGGGCGGATTTTTGCGGGTCATCCAGCACATCAATATCATGTCTGATGTGCTTCTTGTGTTGCACAGAAGATGAAACATATATAATCCCTGCCAACCCGGCCTGAACTAGGAGCTTCAAGCCACCCGTCCCACCCGCCCTTGGGACATTCTGTGTCTGCGTTGGGGTTCACTGGACCTTGGACCTCCCCAAACTTCGCGAAGCGCTCCAGTTCACTGCCGAAGGACGCCTCGTTGTCCTGAGGCGACCACGATGAACGCGTCAACGATGGAGGGCCAAGCGTTTGCCCGAGCGACGCGACGCAAGTGGAGGTCTGATACATACATGATGGGTCCATGGGGAGGGTTCGATCATGAAGTTCAGGATTGTTCTTCCGTGACTATCCCATACAAGCAGGCCTATGAAAGGACATTTAAAAAAAAAAACGTACGGACTGACCGGCAATTGCTTGGGCTGTCGGCGAGCCACGGAGGGGCTGTTTCGGACACCGAGCATCGGGTGATCCAGTTCCACCAGCTCTTGCGATTGTAGCCCTTCAAGTCGGGCTTGGCCACCTTTTCCTGCGAAACCGCTGGGGGTCTGCGGACAGGTCTGTGGAGTTGTTGGGGACGACCAAAGGGGTGGAACTGTGAACTTTGGATGTTTTTGTTCCATGTTTTGGGGAGAACGCACCTCACCCAAACCATCCATGTATGACATATTTACATATATTCACCCCTGAAACCACCCAAATGTAGGTACACATCCGGGGAGTACATGGCACAATGTTTTCTATATATAGATGGCCCCCCGGCTTGCTGGACATGGATGCTCCCATGTTTGGAAGATGGCTCAATTGGTAGGTTTTTCACCATGCAAAGCTAAAATTCCATTAAATAGGTCTAATAAAACATGCGCCATCTACTCTCCACTCCGACTCATGGGAAAAAGCCGACTCCTTTGCTCACCTGTCCGCTCTCGCTCCTTCCGCGAACCAAAAACCAGTGCCATCTACTTTCCCCTGAGCACCACCTCCTTTTTTCATGAATTTTCAGTCGATCGGAGTCTGTACGGGAAAAAAGTGCGTTTATGCGTTGTTTGCATAATAGATGGCGCGTCAGCACAAAAAGGTACTATTTTGAGGGCTAAGTACTGTCAAAGTAGAGTATATAAATATGCCATACATGGATGGTCTGGGCCATAAAACACATTTATGAAACTGAAACCATCACTTGGGGATTTGAGCCAAGAATCTTCAACGGGGGTATGTTCTGAAAAGGACATGTCTACAAGATGAACAGCTGAAGCGAAAGCATGGTGATAGTCGAAGGGAAATTCCTGAAGGCCGGGCAACTCACACCGACCCAGGTCAATTCTTAACTGACAACTGTGCACAAAAGAATGCAGAAACAACGTGACACAATGTAACGAAACTCCACTCAGGGGCCCGATTGAACCAACACATAAGTCCAACAACCCCACCCCACCAACGCGAACCTCACGCCGTTCCTGTCATTGAATCACCACATTTCAACCCACCATGCGCCACGCGCACCACCTCTCAACGCTCGCTGCGCCTGCCGTGTGGTGCCGAGATCCACCCAGCACATGAGGATGTAGCCACCCTTCCCAGTAATCCTGGCAAAAAAGAAAACGGTGTTTCCACAACGAGGTGCAAGTTGTTCTTTCGGATGTGGTGGATGTTGTTTCTCTGTTTTTTCCCCTTCCGGTTGCAGTAGTAGAACTATACAGGTTGAAAATTCTTTGCTACAAGCCTCAGAAACCTGTTGGGCAAGGGGAGGGGCAGCTTCCATAATCTATATATATATATATACCAGCACCATCCAAAGGGTGGTTATTAGATGGAAAATAGATAGTCAGGGGGGTCTATAAACCACCCTTTGGGTGGTGCTGGTATATATATCTATATTACAGTATAGTTCTTGTAGCGCTTATTAGCTGTAGACATAGCAAGCGCTTCAATCGTTTGCACTCCAACTCAATGTTGGACATTTTGCAATGCAATCACTCCATACATCAATCATCATGCATCAAACAAATTATACATGACACCCGAAGGTAGACTACCTGAAATACCCTTTGGCTGCCTGATCTGCTTTGGCAGCGCCATACACCCTAGGGTATGAGGAATGCAGGATTCATCTGTGAGACTTGCGTGAGGTTCACAGGCATTTCCTGCAACCACCTTGAAGTATGGTACAAATCCTTGTGTATATATAAATACTGTATATATACACATACACAAGCGCTTGTCTACGTATACCATATACTACAAGGAATGTCTGGGAATCATCATAAACCAGGGACCTCTCGGATCCAACCTCCTCGTCCCTCACTAAGCGGGCGCAGCACTGGAGCCCGAACGAATATCTCGACGTGACGGCTGCCCTGCCACGTTTGGGACGCATGTTGAAGGGACCCCAGGAACCAATGGCATTTCTCCAGTCCCATGGAGCTTTGGTGGTTTCCAGGTCCATATCAAAACCCATTTCCCAGGTGGCCATGGCTACTTCTCGCTCGAATTGCAGTTGGATTCCCTGGATGGACCATCATTCACAAGCAGCTGCCCGTGATTCCTGAACAACTGATCCGGCGTCTATCTCTCATGCACATGCCTCAACTTGCGAACATGTATCAAAGGATCGTGCTCTTCGTGTTCTCTTCACCCCTCATGTTGAGGTATAAGAAGCATCTTAGCCATCTCATGCCATTCCGAATAGGACTCTTAGGTATCTAGAAACGGGAAACAATAAAAAAAAAAGTCCACTCCCACACCCCTTCAGATCCTTCATGCTTCACCGCACCGGGACACGCTCCGCGGGGCCTGGGAAGGGTGTTGGCCATCTCTTGGCCTCAAGGGCCGTCGAAACCGGTGAAGCGCGGTGAAGGGAAGGCGGAGGAGGGCGGATCTGCCGTGAGCTGCGGTGAATGTGATCCGCCGTGAGCTGTGGGATAGACTTGAGTTGGCGGAGATGGATGCAATGGCAGACCTGCGGCTGTACCATGCTTCCACGTTATAGCAAGCCGGAGGTTAAATACGAATAACTTCCGAATAACAGCATCTCCTCGTTTTGTTAGGCTCCAACACACCGCGTGCGAGTTGCACCTCCCACGGTCCATGAAACGGTTCGCGTCCGCGGTGCGCCCACCGCCCTCTAAGCCAAGTAGGTCATCTGAACTAACTCGGCCTATAGCACAGGTAGCAAACCCATTCCTGGATTCATCCACACCGAAAGTCTGTGCAAAAGTCAACTTCAGAGCCTGGGGAAAAAACCTGCTCCTCGACCTGAAGGCTCAACGACATAGAAATGGTTGCCTCTGCCAGGATGTTTTGGCACACGCCCAAACATACTATTGCAGGTTCCCAACCACCTGCTAGCCACTTTCTAGCCCCCCAAGTCCTTCACCCTAGCCCCCAAGTCCCAGACTCGCCCCAAAACACACAACCACCACGGCAAGCTGCTGGGGAAGCAATATCGCCAAGACTTCAAGGGGCAATCGGCAAAGTAGATGCCCTTGCCAAACATGCCTTGCCAACCATGAAGGGGACATGCCCAACCGCTTTTCAAAACTCTTCCCTATGCGTCTCAGGATTCATCTGATGTTCATGCTGTGACGGGCATCTCAACATCCCAAAACGTGGTGGTTTTCGACTCGATCTGCTTCTGCTTTTGCACTGGATCTCTACATGCAGCCGCTGTTTTCCCAAAATCTCCGGTGCGGACATCCGGTGGTCCAGGCCAAGTGAAACAGCCGATTGTAGAGCATGCGAGGGCTGTGGGTGATATGATGTCACTCTGGTCAACTCTGGTCTGCCGGCCCTCCAAAAACGGTGTCACTTTGAGATTGTTTGTTTCGAATCCACTGCCTCCCTCTCCCTCCCTCCCTCTCTCTCTCTGGCACTCCGACGGTGAAAGGAACAACAGGAACCAGGGCTTTATAGTGATTGAGAGTAGACAGCACCACCCCCACAAGGGTTCATATGGACGGACCTACATGGACCCCATCTACCAGACTCTGACCTCTTTGGGGCGGGTGCATGTTTGTGCCCCCAAACCCGCTCACTTAAACCCACTCTAGACGACTCTTTGGGATTGGATGTGGTATTTGACTGACTTCCGCCATGGCGAACCACTTCTCCAGGCTCTTCCGCCTGGGTGGCTCGGCAGCCGGAAGCCATCGCACACGATCCCCATGGCCTCGTTTGGGCGAAGGAAGAGGCCAAGGAAGATCAGTGGAATGTGTGAGAGTGCATCCTTTTATTCCACAGCCCCATATAGATAGAAAAACAAAATCCCTTTCAAACAAATATTGGAAACATTTGGAAACCGTTTCTATCTGTTAGGGGGGCGGTCAGGTGTCTGTGGGCGCCGGAAAAATAAACACGATTTCCGTCAGGTTCCTTCAAACCCACCAGCAAGTTTATGCAGATCTGTTTCGAAGCTTTTGTGAAGTCGTCACAGGTCTCCGCCTTTAGGACTTTAGGTAGCGTCCTCGGAATCAGCGCACTTCTATCCAACCACATGTGCCAATGCCCAATCCCAGCGCGACTATCCTCTCCGAGTTTCGGCTTCCCAGGGGGTTCCATGAAACAAGGCTCGGCTGGAGTCTGCGCTGCTCGCTGTCCACCTGCGCCGGTGGAAAGAAGATAAAGAAGGCCGCCAACTGGAGGCAGGGGGGCACAGTTACACGAGATATGTAAGGTTGAAGAAAACACATAATTACATACTTCAGTGCGCGTGTTGCACTCCCACCACCCAACTCTTGTTTTGGCGGCGAAGCGCACTGATGCTCTGGCTTCTTTGAAGTCCAGGCCCCTTTGGCATCCTTTTGATGCCTCACCCGGCCCACCTCTTCATCTAAAGGTGGTCACATCTCCAACCGCGGCCATCTTCTTGGAGACTGCGCTGACCGACCCCCCGTCGAAGAGGTAGCGTTGCACCGCAGAGGAGGACCACCTCCCGCTCGCTTCACCAACTCGATGTCGGCCGTCGACTGGAACAAAGCTGATGCCCCACCAATCCTCAAAGAGTGGGACATGAACCTCCCTGGCGGCAAGCCCACTCCAACCGCTGCCTCCTGGAGGAAGTGCTGGATCTCGATCCTCTTGATGACCTGGCCATTGCTCCATCTGAACAACGGCTTGGTGCTCTCGGCATGGCCTGGCAGGAACCGCATCGTCCAGACTTGCCTCATACGGTCCAGTGCTTCGACTGGGCAAAGGTGCTTCCTCCCCGTGGCCTGCAGCGTCTTGGTGTCCCCGAAGGCCAGCTGGTCATTCTTGGTCTTCCGGAAGAAGAGGGAGATCTCCGTCGCCTCCCCCACCGGTTTCGCCACTCCTTGGTGAGAAAGGCGGATGTCGCAGCCCCTCGTGATCATGCTCTCGTCCACTCCGTTCGATTCCCCGAACTCCTTGGCCCTCAGCATGAAGAACCACGCCAGCTCCAAGGCCGCCACGACCATCACTGCCTCCGCGTACGGGATTGAATGCCGGTCATTCACTAACGGGTCGACCAGGTTCTCGCCCAACCACACTAACATCTCAGGCGTGACCCCCAAGCGTCGTGGCTTCCTGGTAGTCGACCTCCGGTCCAAGGCGTTGACGAGGATCCACACGCGGTGCATTCCGTCCAAGGGGTCGCCCCTGCCACTCCTTTTGTGCACCATCTTCATCGCGAAGATGTGTTGACGGATGGTATTGGGCGAGGCGCCCAGCCATCCCAGGTAACCCACGTAGGCCAGTACTCGGTTCTCGTTCTCAATCGGGTCCACGTTGCGGTTGAGGAACTCATCCGGCCAGCCCTGTCGTCTAGCCCAAGCACACCACTTCATCCATGCCCCGCCATAGGCCTTCTCCGTCGCGGCACTCTTGTCCCCCGTCATGTTCTCTTCCAGCCATTCATCGACCCTTTCGCGAACATCACCGCAAAACGGGGCGAGACTCTTGGTGAGGTGAACAGCCTGGGCTCCCACCTTCTCGGCAACCTTGAGCGGGTCGGTCTTGGCTTTGGTCCGTCCGCCAGCATAGGAACCCTTGATCTCGTTGGCGAACTCCAGGGTGTAGGCCTCATCCTCCTCCTCCTCGTCCATGCATTGAGCCCACCACCACGCCTCCGACCACCTCCACAGCCTCCTCAGAGGTGGCCCCGTGCCGCCACCAGCCCTGGTGGTGTCGGCCTCATAGGACGGCGGGTTCCGCCTCAGCTCTCCTCTCTTCCACCTTCTGAGCCACAGCAGGATCTGGGCCATGGCCTCTGCTCCGGTGGCGTCCGGCATCATCCCGGCCTTACCCGGGTTCAGTTCCCCCGCTTCCCGGGCGATCAGCTCACAGAGGATTTGGCCTCCCATGGTTACCAGGTTCGCGGCAGTTTGAACTCCCGTGGCTCGGACCCCTTCGATCACCGCAACCTCGGCAGGGATGTTGGCTGGTAGGTCTCGAAGCTGACGCCCTTGTAGAACCCATAGTTCCTCCGGGTCAAGACGACGAACATGGCCTCCAGGTCCTCGGCGATCGTAGACGTAGTAGCCCTGTAGACTGCTCCCGTCGTCAGACAGCAAGGGCCACCGACCAGGGCCTCCAATCCCATGGATCACCTCCCGCTCTTCGCCCCACCAGACATGACCTGCGGGTTGAGGTAGCATTCGATCTCTCGGGATGCCGCTCTCCAGCTCCAAACGCAATGGCTTGGTCCAACACAGTTCATGGTGCTCCTTTGGCTTCAGCAGTGAACTCATCGGTGCTGGGCCCATAGCTCTGACCAGAAACTCCTCCCATGCCTCAGGTAGAGCACCATGTGGGTTCACCACCAAGCACCGCCTCCTCCTCGTCAACGCCTCCCCATTCTCGGTGGTGATGAAGTCGACGATCCCATAGCCCCATCCCCGGCTCTCGCAGTGTCGCTGCCCACGCTCCCAATCGACCTTCCCAGGCCCTTCGACCAGTCCCAAACGAGCTCCCTCATGTTGAAGGTTGCGGAGGTACTGCTCCATGTGCTTCCCTTTGTAGTCCACTCCGAGCGTGGCGCGCAAAAGCACCGGCCGGTCCCCAACGTCCTCGATGGCCGCGCCTAAGGCTCCTCCCAAGGCCTCAAAATCTTTCAGCCACCTTCCAGCGGGGGTCCACTCCTTTACGGCGAAGGCTTTCCAAGGAATCTCGAGCTCCCTTTGGATCTGTTTTGACACCCTTCTCTCACGGAGCTGGAGTTGCAGTGCGCGATCACCTTCTTTCTCTGGCCCCCAAAGGAAGCATGCTCCATACCGGGCCGAGTCCTCCAGAGCGCCGTGGATCGCCGCAGAGATGTCCAGCACCTGAAGGCCCTTCTCCTTCACGAAGTCCTCGAACTCCGCCTGGGCGCACCGCGTGATGAAGTCCGCATGGACGTTGTGATAGGTCCGCCACCATCCGCTCACGACCGTGAAGTTGTACTTCATCTCCGCCAGGTTGAGGGCCCTGATGAGGATTCTTCCCCCTCGGGTGTTGCTCTTCCGGGATTGTAGCCAATTCTTGACGATGGTATTGTCCCCGCCATAGGCCACTACTGCCCCCTTCCACTGGTCCCCAGCTGCACATGCAAAGGCAACAAAGGACAGCATCTCACCCAGGTGGATCACGAGGTCGGTCTCCTGATCCCCAATCTCATAGTCTGACAGAGCCCGAGCGGCCCACGCTTTCAATGTCCCGGTGGGAAGGCGTGTCACCTGTCTGTTGGTCCAATCGATGGCTCCCACCATTGTAGGCGTAGCGTCGGACGACACCCAAATGACCTTCTCCCACTCTCCAGGCAAACTCAATCTCTCCATAGTGGGGAGCATAGATCTCAAGCCAGTGGCAAAAGATTCCCATCGATCCGTCCGCGCACTCAGCCAACGGCAGACCTCGAAAAGCTCCCATAGATCCTCCCATGCCCGGTCTGCCTCCCAGGCTTGGCTGCCTTCTCCACGTAGTCGGGGATTCACCTTCTGATGCCCGTCACGACCCGCAAGAAACTTGTCCGCCGCCTTGAGCTCGTTCACCAGACCCTTCACGATGGCTCCCCATCCGGTCAAGATGCCTCTGAACTGTTGTAGCTGCTTCAGAGTGACCTCCTTGGAGCCGTAGTCAAAGCAGCTGTCAGCTAAAAGGACCGCTCCTTTCTGAATGCGTCGCTCTGGAAGCGTAGCAGTCTCGTCCTCCGTACACATGATCACCCCCCAGACCGTTTGTGCGGTCTTGAAGGCTCCTTCCACCTTGTCCTTCTCCTCATTCACCGCCTTGTTCCCCAGGAGCGTCCTGATGCCGTGCTCAAACACCTCCGCGCTCACCCACGGCCTCAGTCCCACCCAGGGCTCCACCAACACTCCGTCGTCGACGAGGACCTTGCAATCGAAACCATGGCCCATGTCTCTCCGTGGAACCGCCGGGCGGTGAGCTCGATGGAATTCCTCCGTGCTACGCCCCCATACAGTCCATTCTCCCGGGCTACCACTGAACCCGAAGCTGGAGACCAAGTAGACCACCGTGATGTCGCCGCCTGGGACGCCCTCCAAGTGAATCTCTTCATCTGTGGCGTTCGGAAAGGCCTTCCTCGGGTTCCACGGCAGCTCCCCGGCGAACAACTCTACATCCTCCGGGGCGACCCATAGAAGCCTAAAAGCCCCAGAAATGTCCTTCTTGGACAGGAGGACCGGCAAGCCCGGGCACCGACCCTTAGCCCATAGGATGCGCTTGGCGATCTGCGAGTGGGTAGGTTGAAGGGCCGGCGGGTGAAGGAACTTGTTCGTCCCATGGTTGATGGTCCTCTGGTCGTGGACCACTCTCACCTCCTCCGACACCGAGCGATCTGGTTTAAGCTTCTGCACCGCCTCAAACGGTGAGGCCATCGTCCCGCTCAGCTGCGGCATCATGGCGCTGACGACCAACACCCTCTGCTTTCCCACATCCTTGGCGACCTGGGCGAAGACCTTGTCAACATGGCGTCGTGCATTGGGGTGAAGCTTCGCAAAGGCTCTGGTTCGAAGCCCTTGGAACCTGGCCGCCATGCCATATCGTCGAACATCCCGGAGATACTCCAGTAGGTGGGGGTGTAGCACCCGGTCAAGCTCCGGGTCATCCACCTGGGCTAGGTTCATCATGCCGGCCTTCTCCCTTACCTCCCAGAGGCTTTCAGCAGCTTGGCGCACTCCACCCGCGACCTCAACCAGCTTGTTGCCCGCCCGTAGCACGGCTGCCCAACCATTGGGAGTGTTGTCAAAGTCCCGCTCAATGGCCTTGACATACTCCTCCGCTGCCTGCCGCGCTGCTGTAGTTGGTGCCTGGTAGGCCGAACCTGGGCCGTCCTGTGCCTCGCTCCCGGCGTAGGCCGTGGGGCCTGACTCCACTTGGACACTCACTTCTGGCCCGGGTCCGTCATCTTCTCCCGGGTCGGGTCCCTCATCCTCGTCTTCGCCCCACTCCCAGTCGTCCTCACACGGGATCGCCTCGTCGTCGACAACCGGCATCTCCTGGATGGTGAAGATGGTCACGCCCGTCCACCTGCCATAGCCTGGATCAGCTCCTCCGGCAGCCCGCCAATCATCCGTGATGACAACCTGGTTCGCCCCTTCTCGCAGATGGGTGACCCTCTCGTTGGTCAGGTGGGCCAGCGGTGTAGGGAGACCAATCTCTGACGGGACGTAAAGGGTCGTCCTGGGTTCATCATGAACTCTCCACAGTTGCCTGCGGGACGGGTTGTACTGCCACCTTTGAGGCGAGCCCCAGTGGTCGCCCGGTCCGGTTGGGCTGGTGCGGTGAAAGTCCACACTGGTGGAGGGGCCCATTGGATCTGCCCAGACTCCTTGCAGGGTCTCCCCTTCTCCTCGGTCAAGATCTCCTAGAGGTGGCTCGGCGCCTCGGGAGGGGGTGCCTTTGCCCTTTCCTTTCTCACATGCCAAGCGATATCGCTCCGCCCTCGACAGGCCATACGGGTATTCCACCCTGGTGGACTTCCTCCCGCCTCCCTCAACGTCTGAGTTGGGCTCTGAAGTGGATGAAGACGAACTTCCTCCTCTAGCGAAGCTGAGCCAGCCGCCCTTGCCCTTTCCCCCTCCTGGTCTGGAACTTCCTCGCGGGGACCTTTCTCGGGCTCCAGCCGGAGCGGATGAGCTTCTCATTGGTCTCCACGGCATAGGGATCACCCGGTCCTTTGCTGAGATCACGGCCCTTGGTTGCCGCATCGGATTGGGAACCCCCCCCTCAGGGAACCCGAGCACCTCCAGTAACCCATCTCCGTGGCGGCTCGCAGAGTGGTTCACGAAGCCCATCGATTCCAACAAGCCATCCCCTCTGCCATCTCCATCGGGTTGATCGTTTCGTTGGACGCCTCCGCCATCTCCGTCATGTCCTTGGACGCCTCCGCCATCTCCGTCATGTCCTTCGCCATCGTCTCCGGGTAGGTCTCCAGGTAGGTCATCCTCACCGTCTCCGCCAGCCTCTTCACGGTCACCAGGTAGTAGAGCACCTCCATCTTCTCCATCGTCTCCGCCTCGATCCCGTAGACCGCCTGCTCGATGACCATCTTGTGGCGTCAAAGCCAGACCCCCCCCCAACGAAGCTTGGAGCACCGCCACCACGACTGACACAAAGTTCTGGGCGTACACCCCGGCTTCAGTACAGCGAGTGACGGTTTGGCCGTCGCGACAACCCTTCAGTCCGATGTGCCGGTGGGAGGTTGACAGGCCCGGACAGACTCGCCGGAGCGCCCGCCGTAACGGTGGATGCAGTGGGAAGACCACCCTGGTCTTGTGCACATAGAAATGATCTGGCTCATCAGGGGGACCAAGACCAAAGGCGCACATGGGCAGGTCAACATACTCTACGTCCGGCCGGTGGAGGATGCGCTTCCAACACGGTAGGTCCCATTGCTTGGGGTACCGACCACTGACCCCACTGGACTCGACGAGGGGGAAGGCGCCGGAATCCAACGAAGCCTCAAAGAGCTCAGCAGCGTGCATACTCAAGATGTTGCCCGTTGCCTCAGTTGCTGCTAACGGTCCCTGTCCAGTGCCTTCGGGACACTCGAAGGTGCGAGTCCCGCCATTCTTCTGCTGCCAGTCACAGTAGCTCGTGCAAGGGGCTGCAATCCAATGCACATTTGAAGGTCCGGTACGCACCTCTGCCAGAAATTTGTCGTGGACATCCTTTCGACTCAAGTCAAAGTGTGCCCTGTAACCCTGCTTGTCGTGGGGATGCTCGTAGACCTCGACTGGCTCCATGATCGGGCTCGTCTTGCTCCACTCCGCGGAGATGCCACCTTTCCCGGCAAAGAACTCCCTTAGCACCAGCTGCCCCGGTTCATGTGGCTGGCCTGCACCCCGAACTGCCCGAATCACATTGTGGTCGTGGTGGATGTCCATGGTTCCTCCCGCGGTGGCGGCTGTGTAGGACAGGCAGCTATGCCTTGGCGCGTTGAGCGACTCCCCAGCTTTGCGACCTGCTTTGCACAACCTGCAGAAGATCTTGCCTGGTGCAGTGGGAGGTTGATCATGACGAGCATGCCAAAAGAACGTGAACCCCGTCGCAGGCGTGGTTTGGGGGTCCTCTCTGGCCAGGAAGCGCTCCAGGTCGTAGCCGTCCGGTGGTTCCAGAAGGACCATGTGGCCCTTCCAAATCAGTGCGAAGGTCGTCCAACCCCCATCTATCCAGTTGGACCCAATGATGCACTCCACGACCAAGCCCCCTCGGTAGTCCGCCCTGAAAACCACCAATCGGCAGTCCGCAAGGGCTTCCAAAGGGAAGACCGCCAACGAGCGAAAGTCCTTCTCGTGGTGAGCTGTAGTGAGGTCATGGATGTAGGTCCTGACTTCATGTTCCACAGCTGCAACCATCTCCTCCGCCTCGCCGATGGTGTTGGCCGCGTCCACTGCTAGCCGCGTCTGCTCCAACCTCAGGCCTTGTGCTCTGGTCTGAACTTGCTCCACCGACGGCCGTCGGCCCTTCTCCTTCCACTCAACCATAGCCGCGATGGTAATGGTCACGCACTGCCGCCGCTCGATGGACACCTCCGGTAGGTGAAGAAGTGCTGCCAGGTCCTCCGTCATCATGACGTCCTCCTGATAGTCCCACAGCCGCCAAGTGGTGCCGTCGAGCTCGACGCTTCCCTGCCCTGGTTGCCCCTCTGCCCACAGGGTGTCTCGAACCACCAGCCGAGCCGAGCCTGCTTTAGTTCCTTCCCGTTGCTCCAGTAGTTCAGCCGCTTCTCGTGCAAGCTCTCCCATCCCATAGGTCGCCATTTCCTGAAGAAGTGAAGAGAGTTCGACTCCGGGTTCCCTGGCAACTCTATCAGCGGCCCATGCATACAGGTCATCAGTGGCTCCCTCCAGTGCCTGAAGAGCGGGGGACTTTCCTAGCTCCTGGGCTTTCTGGACCAGGTGCTTCGCCTCCTGCGGTGCCGAAGTACCATCCCGACCATGATGAGGTGGAAGATCACGATGAACATCTCGATGCCATGCATAGTCCGGCCCTTGAATCACATCCTTGAGGTCCTCGCCCTTGGTGTAGTCGACTTCGAACTCCTCAGGGACGTCCCAAAATCGCACCTTTGGCCCTTCTCCTCCAGCTCGGCCATCTTCCGTTACCTCCTGCCCTCCAGATTCTGTCCCGACGGCTGCCGGGGTGCTCCCAGCTTTCGCTCGCTTCTTTCCGTCCTGGATCTTGTCGGTCTTCTCGACCCGCATCTTGGACCGGATGTCTTTGATCTTGGTGGTCACGGTGTCCGGGCTCTCGAGCTTCATCCGTTTCAGCCCGCCTCTTTTGAGGAGTTGCATTTGCACACACGGGTCCAGATTCTCGAAAGAGCCGCGAAGTCCTTCATGGGAGCGCTGACAACCTGTCGTCTGGCAGCCAATGTGGCACAGGTTTCCCCAGCAGAGCAACTTGCCGTGGCGGTCCAAAGGGGCCCGATCTTTGGCCATTCCGACCTCCTCCGGAGTCAACTTGGGCCCCCACAACGACTTGAGAGTGGGCTTGGACTGCGAGCTCAAGCTTCCTGCACTCTCCCCTGCTCCTCCTGCCGGTGCTGCCGGGTTGCGATCCTTCCGTGCCCCGCCCTGCCAAGTGAGATTCCATAAGAGGCGGTCCTGCTTCCTCTCGATCCTTGGGAGGACCTCGGTCTGGAACCACGAGTCGGGCTTCTCAATGTCGAAGGTTGTGGGCATCACCAGCCATGCCTGTCCATCTGGTCCCGGAAGTAGCGCATGGAACTTGAGCTCGGTAAGGCTGATCGTCTCCCTGCCAATCTCCTTCTTGAGGCTCCGAAGCACGTCCTTGAGCTCCTCCAGAAATCGCCAGTGAATCTCCTCCCAGATGTCGATGACTATGGCCAGCGGCCACCTGTGGGGATGGGACAGATGCCACTCCGACAAGAGGTTGAGGGCGTTGTTCCGTACGGCCCTCCATTCCTCCCCATAAACCAGGCACCACACATCTGTCTGGTGTCGTACTCGGGCGGTCCACTCGTCAAACCTGGACGGAGGAGGAGGTCTTTGGTCGGTGTTCTTCATCACCTTGGCCTCAGACGCAAACTGGTCGAGCTCAGCGTCCGTGTAGGAAAGGAAGTCCGCAGCGCTTAGGCCATACTTCTCCTGAATGCCCCAGTACGGCCCTGCAATCCCCACTGCCAGCCGGGTTGACATCCTTTGGCGGAAGCCTGCTGCTCGAAGCTTGGTCGAGGCTCCTACCTGAGCGGACAGCAATGAGTTTGCTAGTGCCTGACCGTGCTCTTCCGCACCAACACGCACTTGATACTGGCCACACGCCCGAAGCAAGAAGACCAGTTCTTCTGATTGTTTGTTGAGCCCACGGATTGTACCGGGGACCTGACCTCCTGCTCCTTCGGTTTGTTGGCGAACCAAAGAAGCCAATTCTGCTGTTTGATGTTGGATCGCTTTGGCAATTTGGACAACGGGTTCTGCAGTAGGTCCACTGTCGGTCCTGGCTCCGGCCCTGGTGTCAGGGCGATAGATCCCCGGGGGTGCCACTCGTAGCCCATCACCTCGCTTCTCTTCCACCTGAGGCATCTGCTGTCCCCGTTCTGCCAGACCAGGGGGATCGGAGGTGCAGGCTCAGACGTAGGTCTCGTCCTGGATGCCGAGGTCCTCAAAGACGAAGCTAAAGGCAGCGATGTAGCTCTATCCCCATCCTTCTCCGGAGTATCCCCAGGAGACGCGGCTTGACTGCCACCTTCCACCATACTCCAGTCGCTACATCCCTCCCCTTCTCCGTGAGGCCTTCCCAACCTAGCCAGCTCCTTCCGCCACGTGGTCAAGAAACGTGACAGCCCTCTCTGTCCTTGCGCCTGCTCATTCTCCGCCTCCCCAACCAGTTGTCGAAGAAGATCACCGGGTAGTAGCAGGCGGTCAGCTCCCAGCTTTTTACGCGCTTGGTCTTCACGGAGTCCATCAGCCTTCCCGGCTGCAAAGATCTCAAAGAACTCTTCCAGCAAGCTGCCGGCACCTTCCGAACCTGGCGACTCGAGCATCCCCATGCGGGATAGATTTCGACTGATGCTTGATCCTTTCGGAGTATGTCCAGGTGAGCGTGTTGTTCCCCTCCGACGTGGCGTTCTCTCTTTGCTCTCGGGCTCCTCACATTCACGAGCCCTTCCCAACAGCTTTCTCGCACGACCATGCCTATCCTCGTCACCGTGCGCCTCCTCGTTGTTGACCCCGTTCTCCTCATCATCGTTCTCCTCCTCGTCGATGTCCTCCGCCGCTCGTGTACGTGACCTCGACCTGGATCGACGCGCTGAGGTAGAAGAGGGTCTCGTCGGTGTCAGGCTTGAAGGTTCATGTTCTGAACACCACACCACTCCATGCTGCAGCTTGTTGCCAAACCTTCTGCAAAAGGTCACACTGCACTTGTCGGGATACCGTCGGGTCAGGTACTGAGTAGCATGATCCCCGCACAATGCCACAGCCCCGCACTGAGTGGGGACATCATCCTGGAGGAGTTGCCCAAAATGCTGAGCACGCACACTGCACGGCCGATTGGCCAGGCACTGCATAGTTCCATCAGGGCCCCGCCATGTGACCAGGCTGCCACAGCAAACAAGGTGCTCCTCTTCTTGCTCCGATTCGGAACCCAATTCCCGAAGGCGATGCATCAACTGTGAGGTGCCTTCGGTCAACGGGGACCCTTTCAACCAGGCCCAGAAGTCGTGGGTCACCTTGCGCGCACCCTCCCGAGCTTGGGCCATCTGGAATCTTTCCGGGTCATTCTTTCGAACTAACCCGTACATGACGAAGTGCTCCCCTCCCTCTTCGGTGCAGGCCTCGTTTCGGCATAAGTGCACCTTCTCGACGTCCCGCAGCCGCCTCACCAAAGCCGGAGATCCGCGAATCGTGTTGCACTCCACAGGGACATAGAGGCCGTGGGTCTTGATGGACTGGGAATCCATGCCGATGGCGAAGACAGCAGCATCTTCCCCTCTCTTCACCACCATGTACTTGGGCTGCTCACCGGACCTCTTGAACGCTCGAAGCTGGGAGGTTTCAGGTGTACGTCCCGTGGCAGGGCCCAAGAACTCTGCTTCAGAGGCTTCTGGAGAGCCTCCTGTAACCTTTTGAAACCAGAACGCAAAGGCCCCAACTCCTCGTAGGACTTTGCGAAGTAGCCATGCCATCGCCATGCAGGCCCCGATCAGGAGCGACACAATGGGGTAGCACACGGCCCACACATAGTGAGCTACCAGGCAGAGCCCCAGCACCACCAGAACCTGGAGGAGCCGGCGGCATCCGGTCCGAACCTTAGTCCAAGCGCTGCCGAAGAGTGCCCACCCGATCATGCCGAAGAGGGTGTCCACGACCATCCACAGCGCCACATCCCAGCTTCCCCAGGTCGAGGCTCCTTCCAACTCCCGACCCCAGCTCGCCAGGCTAGTGAGCCACTCTTCCGTGGCATTGAGCCTTCGCTCAGCACCCGGGAACCACTCCCGAAGATGCTGCCGCCAACCAGCCTGCTCCTCCAAGGGCTCCACCTCCGGTGGCCCTTCCGGGCCAGCCCACCAACCATGGCTTACGGCCGCAGTCGAGATGACCGCCAGCCGGAGCCACCACATGTGGCCGTGCCGACCCAAAAGGCTCAGAAACCTTCGGGCCAAAAGGACTTGGTCGTGCAAGACCTTCACAAAAGTAACGGTTATTTCTAACCTCCAAATATATTTTATTGTTATTATTAAGACGACGAACAAATTGTTGTCCGCCAAAATGTCACTGTCACTAGGGGGAGGCTTATTCTTGCGATGATGTGAACATTAATGTACATTAATATAAAGAGATCATCATAGGCCCTAGATCCAATAAAGACCCACATGGGCCCACCTGTCTTTAGAAGTTAATCTGCTTCTTGTTCAGTCGGAGTTGTTTCATGCTGTTTCTGTGCGCAGGAGCAGTTGCATGAGACTGGAACCTGAGAAGCTGCAAAACGAAAGCCAGCGCTTCCCTTTCTCGACAACGCGTCGAAGCAATCAAATGAGCTCGCGCAGCCGCTTGCGGCCGCGTGTCAAATCTGCTTCATGTCTTGTTCTGCCCACACATAGGTAACCATGCAAAAGCAAAAAATGCACTCTTGCATCACCACCCGCTCCAAAATCACTAAAACATCACCTCCAAGAATTTACGTATACCTTTCTCGGGCCACCCCCCCCGACCCCCGACCTACTAACGTCGTTCGCCAAGCACAGCTCAGCCTTGAGGTGGCCTGAACATAGTGTTTGAGGGCGGCAAACACCAGGTCCCAGGCCACCTTGCATTTAGCTTCATAAAGATTCACGCGCGCGGACCCAACAACGACTTGCGTTTAGCTCGATAAACGTTCGCGCACACCCCCCCCATCGACCTTGTTGTAGCAGGTCTTTTTGGGAGCGGCCTGATCCAGGTATCCTTGTTTGAACCAGTTCTTCATGTTTGAGGTGGCCTGAACAATGGTTTTAGGGGAGCAATGGCCTGGTCCCAGGCCACCTTTAATTTCGATTGAAAAAAACATTCTGTTCACTGTTCACACATAGATAATTCCCATCCACATTCAGATGAAGCAAAAGCCAAAAAATGCACATTGACCTACATTGACCTTGCGCCTGGTTGAACAGACGATTGGTTGTCATATGATTGGAAGTGCATTCGTTTAAGTAGAAAGTTTTTAGAGCAAAATTCGAGGTGGCCTGGGACCAGAGGCTCGCTGCCCGAAACTATATGTTCAGGCCACCTCAAAAATGAAGATCTGCGAAGCAAGGGTCGTGAGGTGTCGCTGTGACAAGGCTTTTGTTAAAACAGACAGTTTTTCAAGCTAAATTCAAGGTGGCCTGAGACCAGGGTTTGCTGACCTAAAACACTCTGTTCAGGCCACCTTAAAAATGAAGCTCTGCGAAGCGAGAGCAAAGGATGCACATTGTCCTTCTGCTGCTTGA